GTTAATATATCAAAAAGCACTTCCCTACGTAAAAAGGGATAAGCAGGATCGTAACTATTGTTATATAATAATCCTCTGAAATAGTGAAGATTTTCGTGGCCGAGAATGCGTTGAGCATATCAAAATTCATCATTATCAATCTCTCCATTGTTATGCATCTCAGTTAAAAAAGCAACCAATTGTGCTGGTGTTGGATATAACAGTGCTTGTTGTGGTTACTGCTGCTGCTACTGTGGTTGCTGTGATTGATGTGCTATAGGAGCTTCTTGTTGCTATAGCTTGTTTTAAAATATTATTTCTAAAGCATTTATATACCATTCATGCAGATGGCCATCATTGCCCTCACCGATAGCATTTAAAAGAGAGCGTACCTATATAAATTATAAAATAATAATTAATTATAAGTATTAAAATAATAAATATGAAGTTTATTAGAAAAAATCACATTTCCTGATTGAAGAGTATAAAATAAAAATTGAATTCTTCGTTGAATCCTCCCTCGATTGTATTCATTAATGTTTGACCAAGTATTTAGGGCATCTACCCATTGATCTCTAATCACATTTCTGACATTCAAAATTGAGGTATTCATGTGTTCATTTTTATATTCCAATACCAACTGAATGAGTTGCCTTGTTTGTCCAACTCCCCATCGAAAATCAGAAGACATGATGTAAACAAATGAAACTGCAAGGTAAAGAGTGGATGAGTAAGAAAAAAAATAAACATGAAAATATAAAATTATTAAAATATTAAAGGGAAATATATTAGAACTAATATAATCTTACTCATTAGAATTCATAAAAAAAAAATTAAACTCATCCAACATCTATAAAAAATCCTTTCATATCTTGGCAAACCGAAAGGGTTCAATTACAATCTTCCAAATTATTATGGAAAGTGAACAATTAACATGTTCATCATATTATTATAGAAAGCGAACAACTCATCACAATAGATCAAGCAATATTTAGATATAAAGGTTGCACTACCTTAAAAGTTTTCACCGCAAAGAATCCATCAAACTTCATTCCTTCCTTTCCTCTAAGCTACTCCTCAAGACTCAAGAGCACTTTCTCTTCTCTCCTTTGTGTGATAGCCGAATGTGTGCATGTTTGTGTGTGAGGGCTGAATGTCCATTTATAGAGTGGAAGGAGTGGTCATGGTCTTCATTGTCAATCCAATCACATGTCAGTTTTTATTTAGTAATGTTAAGAGCTTCGTATTATGTTCTTATCTTTCTCATTTGCATGCCACTTTTGGTGTTTTAGGTTGGGAATAATATTTTATTATATAATTAGGATTTATGCCATTTGTTCCCTATTTAATCCTTCTTTTATTTATCCCTTGAATTTTGACCATAATTCTTATTGTACTCATTATAATTCCCTCGTCGCTCTATGCATTATTCGTACTCTAATTTCTTAGCCTAATTTAATTATAACTTATCATAATTTTTATACATTATTTAATCAATTAATATTCTTTATTTGAGTGTTATCCAAACAAATCTTAAATTTTATATTCCTAATTTCTTGAGAACATACTCTTATTATAACCATCATCATCATCATTTTCTAAATTTCCATCTAAAATATAATTTGGAAATAATTTATCCTCTTATGATCATTGAGCTGGCGCACTATTAATGATAGGGAGTGTGTTAACATTATTTTAAGGTGTAAACATGACACTTTATATTATTTTAATGAGAGAAATATAATATTATTTTATTGATATAAGTAAAATAATTTTTTTAAAAAAAAATTTAAGTGAGTTAAATTTTAAGAATTTATTAAAATTAAGAAATGCCTTTAAATTTAAAAAAGGGCTTACAAAAATATATGAAACTAATAATTGAAAGCTGTCGGGGGTGGGAAATTAAAATGACAATTTTATCGTCAAAGTCACATGCAAAATTTTTTGACCTGTCCTGTCATAATAATAATGAAATTAGTAAATTGAAGCCATAACCCCAAGCCAAGTTTTAACTATTTTTATATTTTAGACACATATATGACAAGAAATCTACAACCTACATCTATAATATATTATAAATATGGCACTCTACCCACTTTCTCATTACTTTTTATTTGCTATAGATGGAACTGTAGATGTAGATCAGTGTTCATAAAAATAAACATATAATGTAAATTCAAATGAGGTGGACAAAAATATATAAAATATTTTACTTATTTTTAATTATATATCCCACATGTATCTCTTTTACTATAGGATCGACCATATTTTTTTAAAAAAATTAATAATTATTAGTTCATATAAAAATTATAAAAAAACTCAGAAAAGTTAAAAGAAGCTTAGGTTGAGATTTTTTTTTATGATAAAGTGTGTGGTGTGGTGCATTTGAGGACGGGGGTGGGTAGCAGATAGAATAGGTAAAAAATCGAACCAGTAGCAGGACTATATCATACTCTGATAGTAATAAATACTAAAAAAATATATATAACCATAATTATTATAATTTAGAAAAAGAGAGACGGTGTGTATAGCTATGACATGTGAGTAGGTGAAAGGAAAAGGGGTGAGACCTTTGTACCAACATGACAGCATCAAAATACAAAAATAGGGAGAGAAAGTAATAATGGTCTATTATTTCTTAGGGTATATAGTTATATATATAATATAATTTTACTGTTTTGAGAAAAAAGCAAAAATATAGTTAAAATAGTGGCGCATCATAATACTATTATTTTTGAAAATTAATATATGTTTCGAGTAAATAAAAAATTAAAGGAGAATTTTAATTAAGAATCGCTATAAAGATTTAATTTTAGATGAGTGAAAAGAGTAAAATACCTTTTACTTGTTATACAGAATTATTAATTGTTAATTTTCTTATTCTATTTGTTAATTTATGAATGTAAGTTGCTTAGATGAATTGACATGTCTTAGTCAAGACCTGCAGATCAAGACTTGCAAAACTTAGAAACAAAGGTTGTTAATATATGAATAAAAATTATGAATGAAAAGTTGTGAATTTTATTAAGATGAATAAAGAGTAAAAGTGTCATTTTCTATAATTTTTTAATGACAAAAACATTCCTTAAAACTTTAAAGAAATTATGTCATTTACTGAGACTAATCTATTATTTACATATTTTAAATAAATTTTTCTATTATTTTTTTATTTTTAAACAGAATGGGTAACTATAATTATTAGTTAATATAAAAATTATAAAAAAACTCAGAAAAGTTAAAAGGGGCTTAGGTTGGGATTTTTTTTTTTATGATAAAGCGTGTGGTGCATTTGGGGATGGGGGTGGGTAGCAGATAGAATAGGTAAAAAATTGAGCAAGCAACAGGGCTATATCGTACCTTAATAGTAATAAATACTTAAAAAATATATAACCATAATTATTATGATTGAGAAAAAGGAGAGACTATGTGTATAGATATGACGTGTGAGTGGGTGAAAGGAAAAAGGGTGAGGACCTGTGTACCAACATGACACCATCAAAATACAAAAATAGGGAGAGGAAGTAATAATGGTCTATTATTTCTTAGGGTATATAGTTATATATATAATATAATTTTACTGTTTCGAGAAAAAAGAAAAAAATATAGTTAAAATAGTGGCTCATCATAATACTATTATTTTTGAAAATTAATATGTGTTATAAGTAAATAAAAAATTAAGGGAGAATTTTAATTAAGACTCACTGTAGAGATTTAATTTTAGATGGGTGAAAAGATTAAAATACATTTTACTTGTTATACAGAATTATTAATTATTAATTTTCTTACTCTATTTGTTAATTTATGAATGTCAGTTGCAAATTAGATGAATTGACATGTCTTAGTCAGACCTATAGATCAAAACTTGCAAAACTTAGAAACAAAAGTTGTTAATATATGAACAAAAATTATGAATGAAAAGTTGTGAATTTTGTTAAGATGAATAAAGGACAAAAACATCATTTTCTATAATTTTTTAATGACAAAAACATCCTTTAAAACTCCAAAGAAATTATGCCATTTGGTGAGACTAATCTATTATTTACATAATTTAAATTTTTCTATCATTTTCTTATTTTTAAACAGAGTGAGTAACTGTTTGCACCCAAATTGTGAATTTAGAGGTCCTGGCCCAACTCAACTTAATTGGCTTTAAAATAATTATATAAAAAAGAATATTTATGAAGTCTTAGCCATTAAATCAAGACCATCACCCATGATGAGTCAACATGATGGAGGAAGTGCTTCCTAAATTCAAGGAAAGTGACGATCATGGGGCTTGGGCACCAAGCCAGGATAATCTATAAATAGAGGAGCTCTCTATCATCAGATTATCATCAACATCAACAAACTACCAATCTCAGACTCTGCGTTTGTTACTTTATTTTTCTTTTTATCATGTAACTTCAATCTTTATTTTTTTGTACGACCGGCATAACCCGCCACCCTTTTTCTTTAATAATGCATCTCTAGTCTTCTGCATCTACATTAGTGTTCTTCACTTTGCATTCTCACATTCGGGTGAACCGTGGTAAGGGAGCCTGGGTTCCCTGCGTTTGATTAGAAGTCAGGTTCTTTCATCTTCTTGAGATCTCGCGTCTCTGGCATGCCTCGTGACACCACGCCTTTTATTGTTTGTTTTTTTTATGCACAATTTTTTGGCACACCCAGTGGGACCTATGTGAAAGGAATGCCTAGAACACATAAGGATTAATATGTTGTTGGAAAGAATAAACCTGAGTCTTTTGACTCAAAAAACGTGGCTGCACACACAGAACATGAAGTACGAGCTAACAAGAAGCAAAGAGCTCTGTTGCAAACTCTGAAGGAGGGGCTAAGGAACATCTCTATTGTGTTGTCTAGACTGTCACAAGAGCAAGCTCCAATTTTCCCGCACCTTCAGAGAATAGATGGACTTGGGAAGCAGTCTCCCAAAATGCCCTTTGACCAAAAGATCAATAACGAGGACAGCTATAACATCCTTCAAAAGATAAATGGCAGGTCTAATTCAATAGTAGGCCTGTTCAGCCACAAGGGCTAAAATCAATGGGGCCAGCACCAGAGAAGCCGGAGCCATAAGGGCCGAAGTTATCAGCGCTAGTGCCATTAGGGCCAAAGCCATTAGGGCCAGCACCTGAGGGGCCAGAGCCACAAGGGCCAGAGCCATTAGGGCCAACACCATCAGGGCCAAAGCCATTGAGGCCAGCACCAGAGAGGCCGGAGCCACAAGGGCCAAAGTCATTGGGGCCAGCACTAGAGGGGCCAGAGTCACAAGGACCAAAGTCATGGGGGTCGCAACCAAGGGGCTAGCATTATAGGGATAGCAACCACAGGGGCCGCTACCATAAGGGCCAGCACTATAGGGACCAAAGTCAGAAAGGCAAGTTTTGCAAGGGCCCTTTTCACGAGAGCTCTCTCCACAAGGGCCTCGTAACAGCTAGATTTTATAGAATCAATCCTTAAAGTCTAAAAACTCGAAGGGCCAATTCCAAAAATAGCTCTTGAGGTCCTAAACTTGAGAAACTTGATCCTAAGCTAGACCACATGGTCCTTAATCCTTAATCATAAGGGTGTCCCTCAGGAAAAGTACTAGATCAACTATTAATCAGAATGAGAATGAGCCAGTCCTTCAAGATATATCCATATAAAATTGGCCTACAAAGACTCTGGCCAATTTGTATGCGGGGGGCATTGTTTCTTAAAAATGCTCCTGCAACATAAAGTTATATGTGCTGTTATGACTTAATAGTCAACTAATTCGATTATATCTGTGCTTGCAAATTTTCTTTTAGGAAACATGAAGTTATAATTACTTTGATTGAATAGATGCCTATATTTTTTTTTAAATCACAAGAAGGAGGAAGACTTAATTAATACATGGAGTGATTTTTCTAACAAGACACAAATTCAATTGTCATAAAATACACAAAATGCGTAACATTGTAATTAAGAAACATAGATATACTATTTTCTTGCCAAAACATATTATCATCTCCTCCTTCTTCTTTCTTGTTCTAAGTATTGATTACATCCAGTTAATATATCAAAAAGCACTTCCTTACGTAAAAGAGGATAAGCAGGATCATAACTATTGTTATATAATAACCCTCTGAAATAGTGAAGATTTTCGTGGCTAAGAATGTGTTGAGCATATCGAAATTCTTCATCATTATCAATCTCTCTATTGTTACGCATCTCAGTTAAAAAAGCAACCAATTGTGCTGTTGTTGGATATAGCAGTGCTTGTTGTGGTTGTTGCTGCTGCTGTGGTTGATATGCTATAGGAGCTTCTTGTTGCTGTAGCTCGTTTTGAAATATTATTTCTAAAGCATTTATATACCATCCATGCGAACGGCCATCATTCGCCTCACCAATAGCATTTAAAAGAGAGCGTACCTATATAAATTATAAAATAATAATTAATTATAAGTATTAAAATAATAAATATTAAGTTTATTATAAAAGCTCACATTTCCTGAATGAAGAGTATAAAATAAAAATTGAATTATTCGTCGAATCCTCCCTCGATTGTATTCATTAGTGTCTGACCAAGTATTTAGGGCATCTGCCCATTGATCTCTAATCACATTTATGACATTCAAAATTGAAGTATTCATGTGTTCATTTTTATATTCCAATGCCAATCGAATGAGTTTCCTAGTTTGTCCAACTCCCCATCAAAAACGAGAAGACATGATGTAAACAAATGAAACTGCAAGGTAAAGAATGGACGAGTAAGAAAAAAAATAAACATGAAAATATAAAATTATTAAAATATTAAAAAGGAATATATCAGAACTAATATAATCTAATATTACTCATTAGAATTCATACCCGTAAGGTGGAAGGGAGCTGATTAGCGGGATCCCCGAGCGGGCTGCACCATTGACTAACCTTGATCTTTTGTGAAGGGTTCGAGTAAGAGCATGTCTATCGGGACTTAAAAGATAGTGAACTATGCCTGAGCAGGGCAAAGCCAGAGGAAACTCTCGTGGAGGCCTGAAGCGACACTAACGTGTAAATCGTTTGTCTAACTTGGGTATAGAGGCGAAAGATTAATCGAACCATCTAATAGCTGGTTCCCTTTAAAGTTTCCCCAGCCAGGTGGAGCCCTTACCTAGCAGCGTGGGTCCCTCATGTATTAATAGGACCCCGAACCCACGCGACCGGCAAGCAGCCGGTGGCAACCATCGGTGGTGACCCCCCAGTGACTTTTCCGGCGAACCCTCAAAATCAAACGTGACGCTCAGCGAGTTGTGTGTGTGTGTTCGAGGGTTCATTGGTGGGTCGTTTGGGGGACATTTAGCGCGCGCATGGTCCCTTGGCTTCTTCTGACGAACCCTTTTATTGATGGTCAGTTTTCTTTCAGGGGTTCGTTGGTGGTTGTTGAGGGGTCGCAAAAATCATTTTGCAAAGATTTGGTTTGCCCTTACCCCTTTTCGAAGGGGGGTTGGCAAACTGCCACCCCTTCCTTCCATGTACCTCCTTCCACATGCTGGTGGGCAATCAAGTGGTGCATCCTCCTGACTATGATATGTCGCACAGGGCCCACCCCTCGTGTTGCTTGATAAGCCTGCGTGGGGGCAGATTACCGCGCGTGGTGGTGTTTGGGGGTGCGCGAGGGGCTAGTGTTTTTTATAGTGGTAGATGATCTTGTTGCCTTGAATTTGATGGTTTCCTCGAATGTCCCAGCTCAACGTATTGCTCATGCCTAATGGTGTAGGGCCGGTGCCTCTCGTCCCTTCTATTTGCTCGCCTCGCCCTTTGAGCTCATGAGGAGTGGTTGGCACGGGGGTGTTGGTTCGCTTGAATGCGCGAGTATGTGAGTGGTGCTTGGATTGTCTGTGTTGGCTAGCTTCATGCCCAAGCATTGAACTGCTGAACATGCAATTGTCCTCATGTCTTGTCCTTTCGAAGTGTTGCGCCTCAGTCTTGATTCGGGGGTGGTTCTTGTGTTGCTTATTGCCGCTGTAGAAATCGATGGCTTTGAAAAGGTTCTCCATTCGTTGCCCCCCGAAAGGGCATCGGAGGACTAGATAGCATTCCTCATTGCTCCCTCGAGCTACCAATTGTCGATCAGGCCCTCGAGGTCATATGCTATGCTCTCAGATGCAGTGCTCTGTGTGGATTCAGGGCAGGTGCCCTTGCTTGTCCCAAAAGAAGGCTTGACCTCCTAGAGGACTATCGCGCCTGCATCATTCCCGACGAGCCGGTGCACGGGCAACATACGGTATCACGAAGGTTCGCTACCTGGTTGATCCTGCCAGTAGTCATATGCTTGTCTTAATGATTAAGCCATGCATGTGTAAGTATGAACTAATTCAGACTGTGAAATTGTGAATGGCTCATTAAATTAGTTATAGTTTGTTTGATAGTACCTACTACTCAGATAACCGTAGTACTTCTAGAGCTAATATGTGCAACAAAACCTAACTCACAGAAGGGATGCATTTATTGGATAAAAGACCGATGCGGGCTCTGCCCGTTGCTGAGATGATTCATGATAACTCAACGGATCGCACGGCCCCAATATCGGTGATGCATCATTCAAATTTCTGCCCTATCAACTTTCGATGGTAGGATAGTGGCCTACTATGGTGGTGACAGGTGATAGAGAATTAGGGTTTGATTCCAGAGAGGGAGCCTGAGAAACAGCTACCACATCCAAGGAAGGCAGCAGGTGCGCAAATTACCGAATCTTGACACAGGGAGTAGTGACAATAAATAACAATACCGGGCTCATCGAGTCTAGTAATTGGAATGAGTACAATCTAAATCCCTTAATGAGGATCCATTGGAGGGCAAGTTTGGTGCTAGCAGTCGCGGTAATTCCAGCTCCAATAACGTATATTTAAGTTGTTGCAGTTAAAAAGCTTGCAGTTGGACCTTAGGCTGGGTCGATCGGTCCACCTTCGATGTGTACCGGTCGACTTGTCCCTTCTACCGGCGATGCACTCCTGGCCTTAACTGGCCTGGTCATGCCTTCGGCGCTGTTACTTTGAAGAAATTAGAGTGCTCAAAGTAGGCCTACTATCACGGGGCTAGTCTTTTGACTCGTGCGGCACTTAGACAATCTTCATTGAAAGTTGCTAAGTAAACCTAACTTGTATGAAAGGAGGATGCTTGGCTAAGTTAAGGAAAGGGAAAGCTTGAGGGCAAAGGATACTTGGAAGAGAGCTTAGAGAATGTGAGAGTAGTATTGCTTTGAGAACTCAAAGGTTGTGTTACAAATGAGGAGGGGTGAGGTATTTATAGACCTCCCCCTTGGATCTAGAAAATTCCCACTCCTTTATGGATGGTGGAGATTGAATTGACCCTACGGTTACAATTCATTCTCTAAAAAACTCTCCTAGATATTTACAAAAAATATCTAGATATTTACATTGAAAGATTTAGTGGCAAATATTAAAATATTGAGGCTAAAGTTGTGTAGACTTCTCTAGAATGTTCTTGCACTCTCTAGCACTCTCAAGGTTGCCCAGGAGCCTTTTGGAGGGTTCTGGAACATTTCGGAGCTCCTTAACCTCATGAAAAAAGAAGAATCGTGACATTCTCCCTCACTTAATTTCACAACGCCCTCATCGCGCCTTCCTCTTTATAATGTTGGATTTGGTCGGTGAATTGCTATAGGAGGTCTTCACGTTCCTAACTAGCTTCAGAGTCTGGTTGACCCTTTTACTTGATTAAGTACTCAGTGTAGTTGGGAACACCTCTCTTTTTTATCACCCTATCGGCAAGGATTTCTTCTATCTCCTTGTCGTACTTAGTGACGACCGCTGTTGAGGCTCTCTTTAATTTGAGAGTAAATTGACTTTCTAGCGTGTTTATTTAACCTAGTTTTAAGTTTGCATTTTTGTAAAAAATTTGTATAATTTTGTGCATCCAATATTTAGACATTTTTAATAAATTCTTCCTTCTCAACATGAATATTAATGGTTTAGGTAAATTTACTTATTTATTTGTTTTAAGTAAAGTATAAATTTAAAATTATTAATTTAAATTTTAATAATTTAGAGTGTGGATACTAAATATAATTATTGAATTTAATTTCATTGTTGGCATGTAAAAATTCTCGAGAATCTCGAGCAAAGCGGTGGTCTCTAATCCCTGTATTAGTTATTAATATAATTACCTCTTTCACATGTAATGCATATTGTTTTTTCATTTTTTCTGTGATTGAGACAACATCTCTATGCCATCTTCCTCTTACTTCTTGCATATACTAGCGTGGCTATGAATTTTATTTTTTTTTTAAATCAGCAAATGACCTTCAATATTATATGAAAGAAATGGAATATGTACTATATACAGACATGATTTGCATTTTATATTTTTTAATATTATATTTTAAGAAAAAATATTTATAGTAGACAAAGCGTGCTCCCTACTCTTGTAAAAGTGTTAAGCCCATAGTCATATCACATTAAGCCTGCTCTATGTATGTGCAGGCTTTAATACAAGCCTTTCAATAAATTTTGTTTCCTTTTCCTTTTACCAACCTTATTAATAAATTTAAATGAGCTGTATTTTTTTAGCCCAAAAAAATAGCCATGTTTAAATATATTAAAGTAATGAGTTTCCCAATATAAATTGGGGCTTAAGAGTTGTGCCTATGCTACTCAATAATTACTAAAAAAATAAAATTAATAATCTCAAGATTGACCCCATGAAATTGTATGGGAAATTTCAATTGAAATTTAGAATAACTCTTTTATTAAGATTTGTAATAGAAGGTTATTTTTTCTATATTTTTTATTTTATAAAAGACTTTAAAAGTTGTAAAAATAGTAGGCTTTATATGTAAAAGTAATATTTATGATAATAAATTAACCAATGCACAAATGAGAGACCACTGCTCTACTCATGATTGATTTTCAAGATATTTTATATGCCAATAATGAATTTGAATTCAGCAATTGTATTTAAAACAGATACTAAATTTTTGTACCAATTAAATCATTAAAATTTAAATAAATAATTTTAAATTTATATTCTACTTAAAATTAATGAGTGACTGAGTAAGTTTGTATTGTTATCATATTTTATTTTATTCTTTTTTTATATATACAAACTTTTATATACATACTAACTGAAAATTTGTTCTCCCATGCCTTTTTCCTTCCCTTTTTTATACATCTAGTGCCATATTGCACAACATGAAATTGATATTAGAAAAATAAAGATAATACTAAATAAATATATTATTTGATACAATAGATTTCACTTCTTTAAAAAAATTCTATTTCCATTAAATTTGTCATTAACATCTACTGTCATATGGATTTTGAATAGTTATTATAATTTTTTAAAATCATATTTCTATTTTATATATTATTCTTATGAAAAAAAACTGGATAATAAAATTTTTAATTATTGTTATTAATGTATTTATATAAAATCTATAATGAGAGTATAATTAATAAATATACAATTTTAAAAAATAATTTTTGCTAATTTTTTAAAAATATGAGTAGTAAAATAGCAATCAATATTATGTATTACAAGAGGAAGAGAGTAATAAATATTATCTTTCCCTGATATAAAAAAATAAATTTTATTTCTTTTAATTATTTCTTGCCTTGAGAGAGAGGGGGGCCTCTAAGGAGAAAGAGAGAACTGATGAAAGTAAGAGTTGTATATTATTACAACCTTTCAAATACTACTCAAAATTAAATTAAGAAAGTTGGCACTGTTAATATCATTAACATAACTAAATTACTTGAGGTTTTGGATTAATCTACGATCGTCTATATTGGCCATTTGGTTTATTTTGGCCACAAATCTTATTTTCACATTTAAATTTGTCACCAATTAAAACATTTTTTTTAAATGATACGTGTAGTTGTTAAGTTATCATGACAACAATTTAGGCCTAACTTTTTCTATGATACGTGTAGTTGTGGAGGCTAAGCTAAATGGGAAGCCTGTCAGCGTCATGGTGGATACTGGGGCTAACCACAACTTCATTTCTCCAGAAGAAGCCAAGAGGGTAGGTCTCAAAGATGAAAAGGGGGGAGGTTTATTGAAAGTCTCCAATTCTCCTCCTCAACCCTTAGTTGGCATTGCTCGAGGGGTCAAGCTATGTCTTGGGGATTGGCATGGAAAGGTACACTTCTCAGTTGCTTGTATTGACGACAACAATGTGGTGCTTGATTTGGAGTTCATGCGAAAGGTAAAAGCCTTTATCATGCCATATCATAATATATTCTACATCCTCGAGGGAGGAGTTGCTTGTACAGTACCAACTCCAAGGGGTGGATTTGTACAATTATCAGCCATGCGAGTACTAAAGGAGGATGGCATGCTAAGAAGGCCTAGGATAATCTCATCTCATGGGGAGATGAATAGTAAGAAAGCCAAGAAAAAAGAATGATCCTTGTAAGAGGAATCCTAAGTACAGGAATCCCCTGTGCCCAGCCCTCAGAGCCAATCCTTTTCTTAAGGTTATGAATCCATTTTGCCGACTTCCCTTACCTCCATTGTTCCATCGACCAGAGGCTGTTCACCTTGGAGACCTGATGCAATTATGAGTACGACCGGGCATGGGAGGTACTCGATCCTCCAGATTTTCAAGGGCCACCGGGGGTGCACTGGACACCATGCAATGTGCAGTCCTCTTTTAGCCGCTAGACCCTACCTCCGGTTGAGCCATTTTTAGGGTGGGCAAGCTGTTAAATAGAAAAGAGAACTCTTCCTAAGGCCCTCACCGATGTCTCTGGACTCCTTAACATTGCCGTCAGCCGCCACGTCCTGGTTCAGGAATTTTAATTCGATTCCCTTTCGAAGTGTGGATGTCGCACGCTATCAGACGGGATTCCCCCGTCTCTTAGGATTGACTAACCCATATGCAAGTACCATTCACATAGAACCTTTCCCCTCTTCTGCCTTCAAAGTTCTCATTTGAATATTTGCTACTACCACCAAGATCTGTATGGACAGCCGCTCCGCCCGGGCTCGAGCCTGAGGTTTTAAAAAGAGATTGGGGTTTCCCTTTTCACTCAAC